ATGAAACGTGATTCAATTTTGCATCTAACACGCACCAATTAATTTACTTGAATTTCATTATCGTCATAGAATTAAATGTCACAAACGACAGGACAAAAAAGCAAATTAACGTGACTATGTATGTACATATGTTTTCTTAATAAAGTCCGATTTTTTAACCGCAAGTGATCATCTTTCTAAAGCAAATATGTAACGAAGATAATGAATATTATTGATGTGTTTTTGATATTACGATAAGAAAAAATTATCGATTTATCTCGAATTATCTCACGGAACCTTAATTTATAGCTAAAGAAAGTAAACATAATTAGTAGTCTCCTTTCGCAAAGACGTTGGAAGCTAAGCTATTACATGGACATTAGTCTTGATGTGGAAAGGTCACTTATTTTAAATTTCTAAAATGAATAATTTCAGTGCTATTTCAACAGTTCGAGAAATTTCTCAACCGAATAAGAACATAACAAATATGTATTTAAAGAACTGGAATCCATTATTGAGGAATTTATGTGTTTTTGGATTAGAGATTAACCAGAAAGGATTTGGTTTTCGTGGAATTTTAGTGTTGATATTAATGAAAATAATGTTATTGCTTGATCTTTGCATATTTATTTTTATTCTTAAAAATATGTACAGTTTTATTATTTTATGTTTCGCATTATTTTATATTGCAGCAAAGATTAGCACTATCACAAATTTCTATCACTTTCATTTCAGCAAACAAAAAATTCTTAAGCAGCTGGATATAGTATTTCAAATATCGTCTAGTAGCGGAGTAAATAGTACAAGATTGAACATAAATATCGGCTTAATGTGGATTTATTTTGTTATAAGAAGTACATTTCATGCTTACTCAAAAATCTTTGGTAATAATCAAAATTTAGAACTCTTGGAAAACAAAACTTTTATTATTTGTATTTCTATTTTTACAGACATAATGCTTAATTTTTTGTTTATTATGCCACAGAATTTTCTGTTTATGTATTTTGATGCCATTTGCCAGGAGTTAGAAAATGCTTTCAAGCGACTGAATGAAAATGAACTAAAAAGAAATGACCAAAAAGAAAACATTTACCGTGCAATCTCAATAGCTAGCAAATTATAATTATGGAATGTATAAATGTTATTGAAAATATTTTCTCATTTTCTTTATTTTTGTGGACGCTTTTATTTGTAGGATTAGTTGTAATGCCTGCTCAATATGTTATGTATACGCCAGATTTTTTAACTTGGATTCAATCTTTAGATTCGTTTACTATTTCTTGCTTGCCAGTTTACCTTTTCATCAAAATTTGTTTCTCGACTACTCGTGTTTCAAAGGAAACAAAGAACTTTTATTCCTCGTTGTTCAACGTGTGTAATCCGCACGATGCTGAATCCATGGACTATATGTTCCGAATATATGTAAAATCTTTGCAAGAATTGCCATGTTTTTCTGCTTGGGATATGTTTAATGTGAACAAAAGTCTTCTACTGACCATCCTGAGTTTTCTCTTCACTTATCTTGTAATCTTATATCAATTTAGCAATTTGAATGGTAATTAATGATAATAATCTTAAAAATGGCAAAATCTTAACAGTTGTGCACCAAATACGTTTGCAAATAAAAAATACAAAGAGGATATTCTTGCAGCTGAAGATGTAAATCGTAATAAATTATACAGATAAATAGAAACGAAGATGAATAAATTATAGTTAAGATAAGTTCCTTTAATTTATGCTATTTTGATTGTTTGTTGTTGTACAGTACATCAACTGTATCACTGTTCATAATTTGTTTGTACTTTGTATTTAAAGTTTTCGTTCATTCAAGCTGATAGAGCACAGTTTGTAATGATATAACGTACACTATATCAAAACCAATATTAAAGTTTAATTTAAGTTACAGCTTACAGATTACTCACAGAAAAACTAAGCTGTGTCTATACCTCAAAGAAAATAATTAATGTTGAGTGTATGAACCTTTATTATAAAAGGTTGCCAGTAAGAACTTTTATTTAAAAAAATAGAAAATGATACCAGAAGAAAATGAAGATACCTTGCAAGATATCTTCATTTTCTTCTGGTCCATTTGTCAACTAAGGTTGAGCGTGTATTTCTGGATAAATTTCTTATGGTTCGTTTAATCTTGCTCAGGTACCATGAAAAATAAACACACTTTTGAATATAATTGGGTCAGTTTGACCTCAGCAAAAACCATGCTATTTGACCATAATAACAACACTTTATTACAATAATTTTTCCACGAAACAATATGGTATGACAATGTATTATGAAATCCTAATAATACTGCACAAAGCTCTACATTTTGTAGGCAAAATGGTGCAGTTAACATTGGTTGCACAGCCGTTTGGTATGCTCTTCGCACACAAACTTTGCATATTTTCAATTCTTTGGTTGGTCCATGTCACAATCTCTGTTATCATGGATTCATGTTTTGAAGGGTTTGTCTACTTGATAGCCATTCCCTTTCTGTCCTGATTTCTGTTTGACAATATTTTCCATCGGGGTTCTTCTGACAGTTTTTGGCTTCTGTGACTCCACATACCCAACTTTTACACGAATATCACGACTATCATTATATTTCGATTCATCTTCCGAGTATGAATTATTTGAACTTACTTCACTGTTGACATCTGTCTCTTCATTATTAGGTTCGTGGTCACTTTATCCAAGCTCAAATCATTTTTAATGTTATCCTCATTTTCACTGTCGACACCACTGAGCTCACCTTCACTGCAGTACATCTTCGCGAGAAAGTCCCCGTGGTGTCGCCACATTGTTATGCTACGCACGCCACACAACCTTCAAATATAGAAAAATATCTTTATCACATTGAAGTAATACAGGGTCAGTTCGACCCAAGAGAAAATAAACCTAAATAAAAAATAAGCGAAAAGATTTTGAAACTATCAAACATGTGTCACATATTTAAAAGTGCCTTACAAAAAAATACGTAACAGGCCAGGTCACTAATGGGTATCATAACATGTACGACATTTACCCGACGATGATTTTTAATACAATACTATACATAATGTTAACACGTATCGACTTCTGCACGTTCACATAATATACTTGATGTTATTCTTAATATTCAGACAGCTTGGGAAAATTAGGAAATCAACGAAAGATGCCGTTTGCAGTTATCCTGAAGAAAGTAGATGACAAAGCCGACTTAATTATAATTGAGAGCTCGCGTAGTGGTAAATATCTCATGCATATATGTGATATGAGAAACAGATTATGGTTGTGGAATTGATAAGTGTCCATGAAGAATAAATATCAACAAAAAATATTGAATCAGAGAAAGTTAGTTGGCTGAAAAGATTAGACCAAGGGTGGCCAACCTTTTGCATACCATGCGCCAATTTTTTGAAGACGAGTTCAGATGCGCCATATAACTCGAACACTTTTTATACAGTCTTACGTTCAATGTTAGAGGTTGATAAATAGAGATAAGAATAAATCTGTTTCGCTTAGGGGAGAAAAGGGAATAACTTAATCACACAGTTGAATTAATTAATTTACGACAGTTTATTGAAGCACCAATTTACAATAGTCAGCAATAATCTCCTGTACGAGAGGGTGATTGCTTGATGATGGTGCTATAGCTGCCAGAGTCTCGTTTAGTGAAGATTACTCTGCACCACAATTGTTGGCACTGAGAACGAGATCAATTTGGAATAACTTTAATCACAATAAATGTTTTCGGACATTTACACGCCTGTAAAGTGATCGGAAATAAAGATCGCAAGACTCAAAATACATGCATACACTGTAATTTACTATGTGGAGAACACTCATTTTATCTGCAAAATAGACTGTAACGAATTGTGCAACAAAGGAACTTGCCAAGACAGACTATAAAAAATTTATTTTTTTATATAATATTCTTAATTGCAAAAAGTCAAATCTGGCAATTTTGCTTAGAACTTCCGAAGCGCCACTTGTAATCGTTTAATGCGCCATGTTTGGCGCATGCGCCACGTTTTGGCCACCCCTGGATTAGACTGTGCTTGTAAAACTAAGTAACAAATCGATAATTTGAACGAAGTTTTGCACGTTAACAGAAGTAATATAATGGCGTGTTTTAACGGAGGCTGAATTTTAAAATTCGACCTCGAACGAGAAATATTGGGAGTCAAATGTTTCCATTCCCATGTTGTCATTGGGAAAATTTTGTTCTTTTCTAAGCTCATCTTGTTGCCTAAATATTTAGAAATTGTCATGCATTAATGACAAGGCTTTTAAATAATTAAATATATTCAAATAAAGCTTTAACATGTAGTATTAAGAAACAATTCAAATAAATAAAATAAAATCAGAATGTATGAATAATATAGAACGAGCAAATAAGTTTTTGAATTATAACAACTTAAAATTAATTAAAGCTGATATAATAAGTAATACTAAAGTTTTTTTGCTCTTTCCAACCTGTGGGTACTAAGTGGGCCTGTTATAGCAAGCCCATAATGGGACAGCTGGGTGGTGAGGAACAGACCATTTCCCGAAAAAACCTGGGGATTTCTTCAGGATTTGATCCCAGGTCACCAAGAGCAGTAGGCTACCACCTTGACTGCTCGGCCATCCAGCCTCGATAAACGACATTAAAAATTACATTTTTATATCCGTTATTCACATTTATTTCTCGGATTTCCTGAAAATTATGTGCCTGTGCACGCCAGAGCTGCTCAACGTAAAAACAATATACGCCGATTGATATATTTACATTGAAAAATTATCAAACGAGCCAACTAAGTAAATAATTTACTTAGTTTTAACACATTGTAATGAATATAAATTTCAATCTGTAATTCGAAAATACCACCCTTTTGAAAGTGCCCCCTTACTGCCTCACCTCACGCGCTGACCCTGATCACCAATGTAAACTTTAATAATTCATTGTCAATTAATTAAACGAATCATTTTGTTATTAATTGTTAAAATCTTTCGATAAATTATTGTATTGTTATAACATTTCTACATTGTTTTATCAATAATATTATAATTAACAAATGAAGATGGATAAGTCCTTAAACATTATGAAAACGTTACTTAAAGGAATGAAGTTATGTATTCCATGCCTTACAAAAGAAAATAAATGCAATTCTTTTAATAATGAAACCGAATTTCGGATGGCGTTTTATTTGAAGCAATTCAAAAAGTGGACACCAAACACGGGCAACAGATCTTTCGATTATCAAGAAAAAAGAAAGACCATTCGATATTTATCCGAAATTTGTTTTAAATGGAATATACAAGAAAAAAATACAATACTGGAATTATTACATCAATTATTCAAGCATGATATATATTTTTATAACCTTTTTACTAATGTTTCCACCGTTTTACAGTTTAAAAACGATCCAAATGAAAATGGAAAATATGAACACCTCAATTACTTTTTGTTGCAAACTAATAGATTACGCGTAACTTTTGGAGATGAAAATTTGCGAATAGCCGATATTGCATTCTACATCAAATACCGTTCACGAAATCCGAAATTTTGTCTCGGAGCAATTCTTAACTGTGATCCAACCCTCCTCCTACTTTTGTTGCAACACGGGGCGTTAATTAAATGGATGCTTACTACAAGACAGTGTAATATAAATCATAACGATTACAAATATCTAATTTATTTGATACTTTTATTATGGAGAGAAAAAAGATTTGGATACGATAATGTAGAATTAGTGAATGTGAAGAAGACATCGGGCATCCTACCTGAACTCATTTCTAATGCAAATTTGTTACTAAGAGCTGTGCCAAAGTTGAGGAATGCGTGCGGAATACGTGATACAGAAAAATATAAGCATAATTTTCAGTACGAAAAAATAATAGTGCCACATATCCTAGATAAATTTCATAAATTGTTACCATCGTTAATAGAAAGATACTTGAAGCCTGCTAAATTACAGCATTTATGTCGGTGCGTTATCAGATATCGTCTTTGGTTGAATTGGAAACTGCCACGGGGAATCGAATTATTGCCCTTGCCAACATTTTTAAAGAATTACATCAATTTATTAATTGATTAATAAGTTTTTATGCAAATTTATTTTTTGCGATGCAATAAGTGGAAATTTCTTTTTGTATGTTTGAAGTAACTGTTACCTGATGTTTCTGATGATGAAAATTTTTAATTTAATGAAAATAATATTTGTTTATGAAAATTCTGTTGATTCCTTATTTAATAAATTTGAATAAATTAAGGAATAAGAATAAATTAAGCGTTGAATGTTAAAACAAATAAAAGGTATCATTGTATAATTATGCTTATTTTTATTTTGGTGACTGAGATTTCTCTAAATATTTTTTGTATTTCCTTACAATCCATCCTGCTAAATATTATAATCTATCATTTTTTAATTAGGTAATAGATTTTCATCTACATTTTCCTGATATATTACACAAATCATCATGTACAGTTACACTGCATGAATTTTCAAATATTTATTGTTCTAGACGTATCTGAAACTTCTTGCAGTAAATTTGATTCTTCAAACATTTCATTCATTAAGTAATTTTCAGATATCTTTGGTGTTTAATTTATTTTGTAATTGTTAAAATAATGATTGAACGGTATTTAGAAAATTTTAAACTAAGTTCGAAATAAAAATGTAATAGATTTAATAGATATAAACATTTCTTTTGAAATGTTTGACGTGATTGTTTAAATACACGCCTCATAATTAAAATTATTTTATAAGTATTATCAAGTGTATTATTTTGTTCGGTTATGTTAATGTCTTAAGCAAATTTAGGAGAATAATCAATTTTGTGATGAAAATTGGGAGTGTTCAACTCCCAATTTTCATTGAACTATTGATAACATCAAACTATGCATTAATTAATTATATAAATTCAGAAACTGCTAAGCATTCATTTTTTAATATATATTTTAATAGTAATGGCAGTAGAATTAAAAAATAATTCACAAGCTAATCTAACATTTTGTCGTTAAAAATTTTGACATGTAATATGCTCTTTTTTCAGTTCAAGAAAAACTTTAGTTCATTGGAATCTATTTGATATAACTGTTGTAAGGAGTACTTGTTTATTGACTTATAATCTGAAGTTAGAAAACCCAATTTCTATTGAGTTTTTACAAATGAGGTGCATCCAAAAAATAGTATATATTATTTCCATTAGATGTATGTATAAATTTGCCATTAAATATATTTATCCTCAATTTCTTCCATAATCCTATATATTGTCCACCACAGTCACTAACAACAGCAGCAAACAGCATCAAAAAGTTTTGAAATAACGTTAAATTAAAGTTGTTTTTTCATTTTAACATCAAAATTCATGTAAACTGATTGTTTGCATGATACAAATAGTCCTCTTGCTATCATTATTATAACTTGATTATTGTTTATCACGCTTTACCTGAAATATCAGTAAAACGTTAACATAGAAAATTAAAATAATTATTGAATTGTGTGGTCATCAATATGAATATAGTATATACATTATTTACCTTCATCTCATTAAAAACTGAAAAACTGTAAGTTGTTCTTCTTCTAAAAGTATAAAGTTTTTAATTAATTTTTGTGATATTGATAACACCATTTAATATGCCTTAACAAAAATTCATTTTTGAAGCCCATCGTTGAAATGTTGAAACTGCAGGTAACAGGATATTCATTTGATTTTTTAAGTATAAATATGTTATGCATAAATATTTTAAAGTAAATGCCAATTCATATTTTATTTCTTCCATTTGATTTTCCTTCTTCTCTCTAGCAGATTATATACTTATGTTTCTGTAATGGTACCGTTCAATATTGATATAACAAAATCTTTTTCAGTTTTTTTTCAATTTTTCATATTCTTCTTGGATGATGACAGGTTTAGATTTCCAAGATTTCAGATTTTTTTTAATTGCTTACATTCTTATATCAATATTTTTAATCTTATTTTTAAAAGAGAATTTTCATATTTTAATTTGAAATTACGGTCTTCTAAAGTTTTACAATCATTAAATTTAAGAGATACTTCTGGTTTATCCTGTTTATTTAAATTTAAAAGTTTTCCTATTAGCTTTTTTCTATTTCTTTCCAATAAACGATTCTTTTTATCATTTGACTGATTAATATTTTCATTTTCTGTATTTCTTAAATTTACTGTTGGTAATAAAAATGTTCCTTTAGTTTAGGTTTTGCCAATAAACCTAATACTGTAATTCAACTTTTAAATTTCTCTCAAAATCATCCTGTAAAATGATCAGAGCAAACATAACAAGAATCAGAATTAAATTTGTCTTTTCTTTTACAACTATAAATTCATTTTCTTCTTATTATTGGACTTTTCGTATATCTAAAATAAGTAAGTTTTCTCTTTAATGACTTTGTTTAATGACAGCTGTTATGGCAAGTTACAACAGCAGATATTGTTCAAACATCTGAAAATAATAATAATGAAATTTAGCTATTCTATTTTTTCCAAATAAATCTACTCAAGATATAACATTCTAAAGTAAAAAATGTACTATTAAAATTTTTTATATAAAAATTAATATACAAATAAATAACACTACAATAAATTTATACAATACATAAACATTTTTATGTTTTGCATTAAATATGAATATTTTAAAATGTCTTCACTTGTCGCCATATCCAATCATTAGGAACAACTTTTCATTAAATTGTAAATTCGTCAGCCCTTTTTTTCAAAAGACTTATTCGATTTGTACATGAAAAACGGTAAAGTATAAAGCGTTTTTACTATTCTGAGAGCGACTACAACTGGTAGGCTAGATATTTATTGGTCAAAAGTGCTTGGCTATTGTAACTCGATTACACAATAATTATTAGTGATGCCACGAATAGTGATTTTGCCGAATACCGAATACCGAATATTCGGCTACGCTCTCGACCGAAGCGCCGAATGTTCGGCAAAATATGTTGTTAAGTTCAATTGTAACATGTGTCAGGTGTGTGGATGTTATCAAGTGTTGATGGACAGTCCACAGCTCTGTCACATATGTCAGGTGGGTGATGTAATCGTATCTCTAAGAATGTGGGGTGAGATTGTCCCGCCTAGAGAGAGAGAAATTGTGGGAGAGGGTTTGTTTCATTTGCGAGTAGATCGTGTCACGACACGCGTTATTTGCTCATTGTTACGTCAAATTGTGTTAATAATAGTTTTTATTACTAAAAAATATCACTGTTTGTTCGCCAAAAGCTTTACAAAATGGCACTATTTAATAAAAAATCGCCTATTTGGAAATATTATGAGATTTGTAGTGAAGATAATAAACTTGCTGTGTGTTTGCTGTGTAACAACAAGATCTCGCGTGGCGGAGAAGGAAAGAAAGCAAGTAAGTAAAATCTTATTACGTATTAATTAAGTGAAACAATTTGTCACATTTAGTATTTAGCGCTTGTAATTTTTTATTTCTTGTTTTTTTGCCCGGTACTTTATTTCACACGTGGTATTTCGTTGATAAACTTGATATAAATAAGTCCTACTTTTAAATATAGTCTACATTTTATTTATTATCTTTGAAATTCAGAGGCTTAAGTGATGCCAGAATAATACAAGTTTAAGCTAGTAGTGTTTGGGAATTCCCTTCTTTGATGTCAGATTTTTCATTGCTTAATTATTGTGTTCGTTTTTTTATGTTTACAGCTACAACTTCTTTGAAAAACCACCTTAAAAGCAAACATGCCGAGCAGTACGCTATGTTAACTGTTGTTCCCTCAGCAAGTGGCAGCAAAAATGATGGTACTCTTACTTCTACCGATTCCAAGATACTGGTAGTACCAGGTACATCAGAAAAGAAACAGTTAACTCTGAAGGAAACAACTGAAAGGAAATTGTTATGGGATATTAATGATCTGAAATCAATAAAATATCATTATTTAATCGGTGAAATGATTGCCTTAGACAACGAACCATTATCACTTGTTGAACGAGTCGGCTTTAAAAGGCTTATGGAAAAGGCAGTACCTCAATACAATATACCTGGTCGCACTTACATGACCGAGAAAATTATTCCTGATATATATAATAGAATTTGCTATAAAATTGAATCTAGTATTTCACGAGCAACAGCAGTATCAGTGACATCTGATATGTGGACATGTCAGCACAATAACCAGAGTTTCTTGAGTTTCACTGTGCATTGGATATCTCCAGAGTTTATTCTTGAACATGGTGTTTTAGCAATGAAGCCATTTTCTGGCTCACATACTGGTACCAATATCGCAAAAGAACTCAATGCTATTGCAGAAAGATGGAATATTCCTCATAGCAAGATCCATTTACTTGTCCATGACAGTGGAGCCAATATGATAAAAGGTGTACGAGACGCAGAATATGATTCTGCCAATTGTTTTATTCATTCACTGCAACGAGCTGTCAAGGAATCGCTAAAGTCTCAAACGGAAATAACACAGATGGTAGTTGCTGCGAGACGAATTGTTACCCATTTTAACCACTCTGGTATAGCACAAGAAAAGCTGAAATGCATTCGCCAAGAACTTAACTTGCCAAACCACCAACTAGTACAGGATGTAAGCACACGCTGGAATTCTACATATTATTTAATGGAGCGATTATTAGAACAAAAGCGAGCTGTTTCTTTGTACATAACTGATCACGAGTCTTTAAACAATTTAACACCTTCTCAGTGGGAGCTAATGGAACAATGTATCAAACTTCTCAAACCATTTGAAGAGATTACGAAAATAACCAGCTCAGGTATTTCCTGCATCTCTGAAGTGATTCCACATGTTGTCACATTGTTGAAATACCTGGGAAAGGAAGAGACTGCAGATAGAACACCAAATTTATTGAGAATGAGATCTTCACTACAAGTTGAGCTTGAAACACGGTTCAACTTTGATGAGAATGACAAATATCTGGTTGCCACTTTTCTTGACCCGCGTTTCAAAACCAGTTTCCTGGGATTAGTTCAAACGCAAAGAGCAAAACAAAAAATTCTTTTAGAAGCTCTGAAAATTAGTCATGACGAGTCTACTAGTACGGGTGATTCTTCTCCATTTCGTAAGAAAAGAAATATCAATGAAAATGATAAAACCATTGAAATACACGACAGTTTTTGAAACTGTTTTGACGAAGTCGCTACAGAAAATATGCAAAATGATGAGGATGTGGAGGAGAAAAGTGCTATTGCAAATGAGATTGATTTTTATATGAAAACTGTTCGCCTAGATCGGACGGCAGACCTTTACAAGTGGTGGTCAGCAAACGCAAAACAGTACCCAAGCCTGACAGAATTTGCTAAGATTTATCTATCGTCTCCCGGCAGTAGTGTATATAGTGAGAGGCTATTTTCAGAAGCAAGTATAGTTTATGAGGAAAAGCGCAATCGTTTGCTATCAACAAATGCTGAAAAAATTGTTTTCATTCATCACAACTTACCACTGATAGATTTTAAGTATTAAATGTAATAATTTGTGATTAAAATAAATACATTTTTTAGTAATATGTGCGTTTTTTTCCATGATTTGGTATTTGGTATTCGGCCGAATAGTATGCAACATTCGGCCGAATACCGAATATTAAAAAATGTAGCTGAATAGGCCGAATACCGAATAGTAGCCGAATATTCATGGCATCACTAATAAATATCACAATGAACATTTTTGATTGAGCGCAATACAGTTGGATATACACGCACTGTTTGCTATCCTGCGGCAGACTCTTCTACACGTTCTAAGGCGTCATAATTGCATAGCGTAACTTTACGAACTTCGACGACAGAAAAAGACAAGTGGTCTCACCGAGATTCGAACTCGATCGCTGGATTCAAAGCCCAGAGTGCTTACCGTTACACCATGAAACATCCATAACTTTATTCTTCTACAGTACACAATTTATAGAATTTTTAAAATGTGTTAAAGTGGGCACTCGATGTGATAAACTCTTACGTAAGATAACCTCTTTAGTTATATAAATCAAATACTATAATATAATATAAAAATTAGAAACATGATATCACCCTAACGTTTGTTTTTCTTTTGTTCCCGGGCAAAGATAGGCTTACTTACCAGTAAGTAGCTGTTTATTCTTGCCTTTAATTCAATACAAATTTGTAAGTTTTTTAAATGAGTTTTACTTCTTTTATTTTTATATTTTTCTTTCGTTATGAACCGTATACGTCTTCTTCTGCTCGGAATGTCGGTTTAATTGTTAAAAAGATTATTTTAACTTTAATTATAAATTAGTCCGGAAATATAATGTGCAAATATAATATTTAAACCGATACACGTAATCAATCAATGTAAATGTAAAAAGTTTTATTAAGTAAAAGTTNTAATTTTTTATTATTTCACTGTACACAATTTTAAGAATTTTTAAAAAATGTTATAGTGGGCACTCGATGTGATAAACTCTTACGTAATATAACTTTTGTAAGTATAAATCAAACACTATAATATAATATAAAAATTAGAAACATGATATCACCCTAACGTTTGTTTTTCTTTTGTTCCCGGGCAAAGATAGGCTTACTTACCAGTAAGTAGCTGTTTATTCTTGCCTTTAATTCAATACAAATTTGTAAGTTTTTTAAATGAGTTTTACTTCTTTTATTTTTATATTTTTCTTTCGTTATGAACCGTATACGTCTTCTTCTGCTCGGAATGTCGGTTTAATTGTTAAAAAGATTATTTTAACTTTAATTATAAATTAGTCCGGAAATATAATGTGCAAATATAATATTTAAACCGATACACGTAATCAATCAATGTAAATGTAAAAAGTTTTATTAAGTAAAAGTTTATATACACGTTTAACTGTTCGACATAATTATAATCGTGGCTTAGACATATGCTAACTGCGATATTTCCCTTTTGTTTGTATTCGGGTGTCCAGTGTCGACACACGCGTTGCTGGCGAAAATCCATTATTTTCGATCAGAATTTCATCGTCAGTTGAGAGATTTCAAACGACCGAAGACAGTGCTAAGTTGTCACCGTCGACTTTAATTAACTGAAGTGGAAGAACACGTCCCTCGTAAGCGATGACGAAGGACATGTATCATTCCAAAAATTCCCAGCAGAAAAGGGAAGACGCCAAACCGCCATTAAAAGTCACATCCGGTCATTAGGTCAAAGCCAGGTAAAAGTCCACATCCGAGTAAAAAAGTCACAATCGGGAATAAAAGTCACATCCGGGTAGAAAAAGTCACGATCGGTGGAAAAGTCACATCCGGTAAGAATACCTCGGAGATTTATTTCTTCCAGAAGAAGAAAATCTTCTTCCACCAAGGCTTCTTTCTCCTCTTTTTCAGGATCGATTTACACTCCCCTTCGACTCCTTCCTCGCGTGCCTCTCTCTGCACCGACCATTCCGGAACTTCTGGATATCTCTGTTCCAGGTAGTCGATGACAGACGAGGTGCTCTCATCGGGAATGGTGACAATCACCCGTTTCTTGTCGGGTTCCTTCGCACCCTCCAGCACTTCTTTCGGACGCACGCGAATCACTCGAATCGAAGAGGACGACGATCCTGATGTCGAGGAGCTTTCCTCCGCACTCTCTCCTCCACAGTTGTTCCAATTCTTTAGCGCTTTAAAATTATCCATCCTGCAAACAATAAAAATCGAGTATTAAATATTGTAGAACGAACGTTAAATTAAGAGAATATTAAAAAATCATAATGTAAATACGAGAGAAAATTATAGAAAATGATCGTTTTAAGTATAAGAAAAATTCTAAACAAAAATGAATATAAAAGTTGTAATGGAATATTTGTTGTGGCAAAATTATCGCTGCTAATTGTGATTTAGTACCAAGCAATGCTAAAAAATATCTAAATCTAGAACGATCAGGGACTAAACTTACTTAAAACTGTCGCAAAAACTGTAGCAAAACTCCGAAAACACTAGAAACAAACGCATTCGAACAATGCAACAGACAATTGTCGAAATTCTATTGTTGCGTTGCGTCTCAGTTTAATGCTAAAAATTTCGATATTTTGACAGGATTTCGATTTCGGGGTTTCTAACTCTCTCTGTCTATAGAAACGGACCATTCTGCTTTTTGTCCGTAGTCTTTCACTCACGCCAACAGAGACGAGGTGTAATCCATTTTGTTAGAGTTAGGATGATCAAAGACGCTCATAAACTATGTCGATTCCACTTAAATTGAGCAATGGTAGAATCTTCTGGAACTGTTGTTTCTATATTGTTGTTGGGCTGCAATTTGAACCCGTTGTAGATATATAAATGCCGACTGTCGTTCATTATCCTCAATCTCGAGAATGCAGTTTGGTAGATGAAAGTGGAGATCATATATGAATAGATTAAGAGAATATATGAATTTCCGATGCAAGGCGGAAGTCACGTTATTTCCATTCAAAACATTTCCCCTGAAAGGAATTAAATAGATGACAGGCACGACTTCATTGCTGACAGCAAAAGTGTGATGTACAGGGACGAGACACTACAGTAGTAATTTGAGATGGACGGCATATATTTTAAATGAAATAAATTAAAATATGATTAAAAATTACCGCCCGGCATTGTAACCGTGTCACAATAAACAATTGCCCGTTAATTTTTTAATTGCAACTTTAAGAATTTTGAAAATAAATGGCTTATAAATATCGTTCTTCTTTTCTGTGCGGGTAATTTAAATATTTCGTCTACAAGAACTTACGATATTTCACCCTAACAAAACTTGCAGGTTTTTGGTGTTTTCGCTTAACACGACGAACACTTTAATTAAAATAAGCATTAAAATCTAATAACTTTGCTACGTTAAAATTACCACAATTTCTACACTTGTTTGATTTGTTAATGAAAAAAAGTAAAGTATAAAACATTATTACTATTCTGACAGCGACTACAACGGGTAGGCTAAATATTTATTGGTCAAAAACGTTTGGCTATTATAACACAATAAATATTCCAATAAACATTTTTGATTGAGTGCAATATGGTAAGACATAGGCACTGTATGCTATCCTGTGGCAGATGTTTTTACAGATGTTGCAAATTTCACTTGTAGGTCGCCAGAAGAAACATTAAAAACAAAAACACAGAATAATAGATTAATGGAAGTAACTGCGATAGAAACTGCGATAGAAACGCTTATATTGTTCTAAAATTATAAACATTTCGACTTATATTACAAATGAATAACACTAATAAGTATTTACTGTAAGCATTACAATTATGATTCGATATATTTTCGAAAAATTACACGTTCGAAATAGCACTATTGAATTGATTATATTTCTTAACGTTTTACTAATTACGTACGTACAATTGTCATTATTATTTACTATAATATATATACACAGAATCGAAATAAAGTGATAGTCCAATATCTCACCCTATGGCTTGTGGAATACATTTCTTTTCGGCCCCAACAAAAGAAAATAAATCGAACACATCAATGATCTAATATATCAAGTTTCCTAAAACACTAATCACAACACTTTCTTTTCCACCAGATAAAAAAACTTTCTCAGCGTAAATCCTGAATTTTCCAACACAAACTCTACTATTTCTAACCCAAGAAATTATTCTTAAACCATGACCCAATTACTGAAACAAATGGATTCTGTTGTATCATGTCTCTGTTCATTTGTTTAAATGAATGTTTATATCCTATTTTTAATTCTATCTGAAGCAATTATTATCTACCAAACAGGAAGTTTTTTAGGTCCACATGTCGGAGATTTATGTAAATGCGACAACGAGATTTTTTATCTATTAATTAACGTTGAAACTAATTTCGCCTATTTTTCCGACTTTACAGAGTCTTTTTTTCAAAACTTTTGGTAATATCGATTTAAAATAATTAGAGAAACAAATTGGAACGAAAAATTATCAATTCATTGTTATAAATCTCACAACATGCGAAGGACAAGACAAAGGGGATGACTGTCGTTTCCCCCTTTTTCGATGGTGTTGGATGATCGATGTTAAGCTATCCATGTCACACGGACCCATGGTCTTCACAGAATGAAGGACTGAGTAAACAAGAAAGACGACGAAAAGAAGAAGAACACAGGAAGAGAAAGTGGAAAACGAACAAAAGATAACTCTTTTCCTGGTATGCTGTCAGTCGTGCAGTTCGGACACCCCGAA